ATAGCCATCCTTTGATTCCCACAGGGGGTTGGTTCCAGGCCTTCCTGAGAATGAAGCATCCATGGATGCTCAGATACCTTTTATTAAACAGTGCGGTATTTACACAGAACCTATGTGCATCACTCCTATATAAATTATCTCTGGATGACTTATTCTACATTAATGCCATATCTACAGTTTCAACACTGTATTTTTTTCAAGTTTTTAAAATCTGCAAGTGATTCCATCTGCAGTTTCAGAACTGGAGGTCATGAAGGATCTGCCGTGTGCACGTGTGTTCATAGAGTTGCATGAAACCAGGCAAATGGTAGGAAAGAGGCAGAGAACAAAATTAAGAAGATAGTACAGCAAAGTGTGTCAGACTAAATGAGATTAAGTAGTTACTAAAGCATTCTGTGGCCAAAGTACAGCCCAAAGTGGAGGTCTAAGCAGAGCTTCAAAGAACTGTGTACGTAGATCCCTGTGTTTCTCCTTAGCACATGGACTCTGACTAGTGACTCTGAGGCCTGAGAGTCTGCATTTGTTAGAAGTTCTGAGGTGATTCTCTTACTGCTTGCTGGTCTTTCAGTTTTCTCTGAGGAGTGAGAGGGTAGAGCACTGTTGTCAGCCTCCTCTGCTGGTTGTGTGCATCATGGGGGAGCTCGAAGCCAAACAAAACAAATCCCTGATGCCCGAGTCTCACCCCACTTGCCAGATGCTGACTTCACTGATCTGGAGTTCAGCTCAGTGTGTTAGTTAATTTTCCGTGGCAGAGACAAAATACAAAATATAAATAAAGTTAAGGGGGAAAAGCTTTTTTGAGCTTGTAGCTTCTGTGGTTTCAATTCATGGACTCTTGTCCACATTACATTGGGGCCAGTGGTGAAAAAGTAGCTGAGAAAGAAACACGTGGCAGAAGAAACACGTTCACCTGATGGAAGCTGGGGATTGAGAGAGAGAGATAGACCGAGAGAGATCTAATCCCAATGTCCCCTTCAAGGGCAGCTAACTTAACTTCCTCCTGATGGCACCATAAGCTGGGAACCAAGTCTTTCACACATAGGTCTTTGGGGGTCATTAAGATCCAAACCATAACACTAGGAATTGGGAATTTGCAAATCTCCTGTTGGGTTCTCATGTGTAATCAATATGGAGACCCACTACTCAAGAGTGATAAAAAAAATCATATCCAAAAATGGGAAGGACCAACCCCTCCTCCCAAAAAAGGGAATAGGAGTGGCAGTTGACTGAGGCCAGCTACATATAATAAAATACACCATGCCCCAGTCAGCCAAGACTGACCTTGTTCCAAATATGCGAGTTTATCTGGGTGTGACTTATACCTGTGTTAGGATGCTTTGCTGAACCCACACTAGGCTTGGGATTAAGTGCCAAACTGGTGACTAAGTAGCTAGACAGGGGGGCAGACTTCCCTTGGGATTGTAGCCCCCGCAAAGAAAAGGCCTGGCAGAGGACCAAGCTGACCAAGCAGGTGGTTGCACCCACACATTTACCGACACATCCACAAGGATTTTTCATTAGAAGGAGACAACCCACAGCCTCCCTCTACCATCCTGAGGGACCACAAACCAGGCATGACAAACGATGCTGTTGTTTCCTGATGTGTCCCAGATTTATTTTGAAAAATCATTTTCAATTCAGCTGCTTTCTTATTAACATTAGTACATTGCAAATTATTTTTGATCTGTCATGCAGATTTGCATAAGCATCACAGAATTTTGATTCTGAAACTACCGATGCTTCAAATCATAAAATGTCTAATGAGACATGCCAATTTAATTATGCTGCTTGGAACTTCTAGAACCCGGGTTTGTCAGCATTTTGCTGACAGTTGTCATCATTTATAGTCTGATCTTTGGTACTTATTATGTTTACTGTGGCTAAAAATACTGAGAAATAACCTGCTTTTCTCCTCATTTGGTAGATGAAATTGCAGTTTAGTCACAAATAAACTTGTAAGATTTGAAAACAATCTGGTTGGTAATGATCATTATATTCAAATCCTGATGCAGAGGACGCTGTGTATCTGGATGATGAGAAAGAAAGAGAAGAGTACGTCCTGAATGATATTGGGGTGATTTTTTATGGAGAATATAATGACATCAAGAGTAGAAGCTGGAGCTATGGTCAGGTGAGCCATTTAAAATTTGTCATTGTCAAGGACATTTTTACTTAGCATTTTTTGTCACATATATTACTGCAGGATGCTATATATTGATATTAGATGAGCACAATTTCCTGCTCATTAGAATCTAGAACTCCAAGATGGAGAGCAGAGGGATAGACTTATAAAGACAGCTGCATAATTTATCAGTCAAAGGAAGGTGCCTGGAGCCAAGGCACGCACGCATGAAATCACATATCTCCCACTTACTACTGTGTTGAAGAGATCAGAGCATCTATAAGTAAACAGAAATATGTTGGTATCACGGTACAGTGCAATCTCACTGGTTCAACTGACGGTAGATCAAAATTTTTTCTTATAAAAGAGTTTAATAATGATGCAGAGTGTGTCAAAATTTTTCTTAAAAAATAGCTTTTTTGAAAAAACAGTGAGTCTAGGAGACTATTAATTAGAAGAGTGTTATTATTTTTTTCAAAGAGCATCCACTGGGCTTTTGATGTAGACACATTTTATCAATTTCAACCTCAAGTTACTGGATAACTTTAAAATAGCAACTGTTTTTTCTTTGTGATACTACATAATTCAAACTACTTCAATTTATAGTCTTTAACAATGGTGCAAATGAACAATATTTTTCCTTATTTCCATAAATGAATGCATGTCCCATGATTCAAAAATAAATTTTTATTATTGATGTAAGGGAGGGTAAGTGTGGCATTTCTCAGAATATTCGAGCTGAGATAACAGGAATGCATTTCACTGTTCTGGGTACGTGGGGGAAGGGTTTGGTGGAATCTGGCCATATGAGGTCACATGGGACTTCCTTGGCTCCAAGCACCTTCCTTTGACTTCCACACAGGGTCTGCTTGGGTCAGGAACTCTTGTCTCTCCACACATCTCCTCAGTTTTGTGACCAGCTTCCCCTGACTCTTGAGAATTTCATACTTGATATTTACACTTGCCCACCTGCATTTTTGACGTCCTGACAGGATGTGATCAACGCTTATGTGCCCCATTTTAATATTCCTGCCTGAATTCCAGAGGAAGCCTTCCTTTCCTCAGTGACCACTGCCTGTCGCCTGGTATCCTTGCATTGGGTCTGTATTTCCTAGCCTTTGGGTGGTGTCTTAACCTCTTTTCTTTTGCTATAACAAAATCCCTGAGGCTGGATATTTTATAAAGGAACCATATTTATTTAGCTGACAGTTTTAGAAGCTGAAATTCTAAATGCCTCGGATCAAGAAGCCTATCTGATCCACTCTGATGAAGACCTGCCTACGTTATGGCACAGTACAAAAACAAATTCAGATGGGGAACTGTAACGGAAAAGGCCGAGTGAGTGGGAGTAGCCTCACTTTATAACACCCTGCTCTCATGAGAACTAACTTTCTACTGGAGACCAGCATTAATCCTTTCTGAGGGCCATGTCTTTATGACCTAACAACCTTAGAAAGGGCTCTACTTCTTCAAGTTGCCACCATCTCAGTGCCATCACTCTGATGATCACAAGTACAGCACAAAAAACTCTTGAGAGACACATTCAATCCATGCCAAGCCTTGCAGGTGTGGTTCTGTTACGGCTGCAGTATACCACTTTACAGATGGCTTGCTTTTAAGAGGGAAAACATCCAAGTAGATACTCAGAAGAATTAGGAAGGTGTCCCGGGACTCCAGGCCAGCAAGGCTTTGCAAAAGATGCTTGTATACGAGCCATTCCCACTGTCATTCAAAGACATCGTTGATTTGGGTCCTTCTGCCAAAATAAAAGCCAGTTGTTTGCATTGATGCAGGAAAATAATGAATTCTGGAACTGTTTGACTCTATGGTTAGTGGCTATAATGTTCCACAGACATGGCTGAGATGTACTGCCTAATGAGAAGCAGAACATTTAATAGTTTATATATCTGTTTTCAGTGAGATTACAGATTATTTGGCTATCCCATCAGTTTGGCATACACCCAGAGTTGGTGTTGTAGCCAGATTTAATAGGTAATTACATGTCAATTAGCTATTAAGGTTGTGATCTCTAGAAAACATTTAGGTGGACAATGTGTGTGGCTTCTGTATTTAAACTTAATCTCCTATTGCTGTGAAATGCAATATAGGTAAAATCACCCTATCTTGTTGTCTATTACATTTTGGTCTTTATATATTTTTAAGAAAATTCTGGCATTGCCTGTGACCAGTGCTTTTTTCTAAGAAAACTGAACTGGCTACCAGGCTTTCCCATGATAGGGCAATCTGTTTTCCAAGCCTTCCTGTCCTTAGCTAAGGGTCCACCTTCTCTCAGAGAACTGGAAACCATAGAGGTCATTCATTGTGTGAGATCTCCTCTGCTGTTTAGAGCTGTTTATTTTTAAGGCACTCAAGGACTTGTGTCACTTTTGAGGTTGCAAGCCTTTGCACTGACTTTAATAAGCCATTCATCGCTTGACCTGACCACTGGAGCCAATAGACTGGAGAGACCTTACAAACGAACTCGCTCGCTTTTCTGAGTCATTTTTAAATTCTCTTGTGATCCTTGAGTGCATCAGCTCACTAATAGTGCTGTTTATATTTCTGGCATTCTGTTATGCTCTCCTTCACTTTCCTGAAAAATAAAGAGGATATCCTCTTCCTTCCACTTTCATTTCATAGTAAAGGTTGTAAGAGATCATTAAAAAGCAAATACATACTTTTATTCACCAGGTTGTATCTTCATTTTGTTTTCCTACAGAAGCTGTCCTATTTGCAACTAGTCATTAAGTAGTTTCTCATTATTCCCCAGTTTGAAAATGACATCCTCGACGCTTGCTTATATGTGATGGACAAAGCACAAATGGATCTTTCCGGCAGAGGAAATCCCATCAAAGTCAGTCGTGTTGGATCTGCAATGGTAAGTGGTAGCTACTGATGACTAAAATCCATTACACACACCACATGCCTCAGTGTAGCTGCCAGTTCACTAAGACGTGTTGAAGTAGTGACTTACACTAGATAAACTTTTATTTGTAAGAATGCAAGTTATGGCACCCAGTACAACTCTTGAATTCTCTGAGCTTGGCTTGCACTATAAAACAGTGTTTTAAAATCTTAACACAGCATTTCTTCAGCTTTAGACAAATGATGACAGATATTATGATACTGGTGGACAGTTATTCTTAAGAACCTCTTGCCTGGGGATTGAAAAGTGATCCTAACAAAAATGTCAATGACTATAATCCAATGGTCAGTCTATCAAGCATCAAGGAGGAAGAATATATGTAAGATGCAGTACATCTGTATCTAATAAGAGTAAGATTATATAAGCTACATATATTCCTGGCATCTCATAAAAGGACTTTATCACTTATGAAGTGATATTGATTCTTCAAGAAATCCTAGGAGATAAGTAGTGTGGGCATTATTCATACCATTTTATAAGAAAGGAAATGGGGTGATGGTGGTTTGTGGGTGATAGTTTCTTCTAGAATCCAATGCTACTGATTCCAGATCTAGACCTGTTCTACTTTTCACACTGCTGTCTGTGGGAAATCTTGAGACAAATTCAAGAATGCTGCAATCCTGAATGGAAACAGTTAATTGTGGAGCCAGAACTCTGTAAGTGGTGAGAGGCAGAAGCAAATTAAATACAGTACTAGGGTAGGTAGTCCTGGGCTGTGTTGATATACCCAGCCCCCAGAGTCAGCCTTTGGTACATAAACATGTGTCATACCTGTTTCAGGAACAGAGCACTCATAGAAAAATGTTAAATTAAGCTATATTTTATACAAAAATGCTGAACATTTTCTTAAGTTTTCTAAAAATTCTTCTTGGAAAAATTGACCTTTGAGTTTGTTTGTATATATTTTTTTGGGCTAAAAATACAAATATGTTAACATACCAATATTAATCTGAGCATGATTTTTGGTGGGCTATTAAGAATGGTGATTTTTATTAAGAACTAAGCTAAGTGTGATTTTAAGTCATAAAAGAGCTTTAAATGTGAAAGCAGACTAGCATCTAAAAGCATTTGGGGGGTGGGGTGCAGCTAAGTGGTTAAAACACACACTTGACGTGAGTGAGACCCTGAGCTCAATCACTGCACCACACTGAATAATCAGCAGTGCGGTTTTCCATTGTTCATTTGTATTGCATGATGAAAAGGCAGTAGGTTTAGAGACGTTAGCTCTTGGTAAGAACCACCACGTATAACAACATAGATCTGCAGTCAATCATGCAGTCACTGTTTTCCTACTTTGAACACAAGCCTCCCGTCTCCTTTTCTCCTCTTGGATGTTACCATGATTAATTCACCACAAGAAAGGAAGAATTAGCTAGGGATGCTTAAATATTAATTAGTTCCTTCTTAACATTCTAAAATGGCTTGCTTCTTAGCCTGTTACTCAGATGTATTTTTATGAACCAGAAATCAGTGTCTGACCCAAACTAGTGTAAAAAGGAATCAAAACAGGAGCATGTAACTGAATCTTGTGTATAGTATCCCCTGGCCAAGTGGGAGCTGATAAACGCTGAATTAAGCATGCAATACCAGTCAATTGCCTTACAATTTTATTAATGATAAAAATCTTATGAAGTTGGAATTTTTAAAATGTATGTCCAAATTGCAAAGTTTGTAAGTTGAGAAGAAGAATTTCTTTGGGGAATAATTTGGTTCTGGTTTGATTTATTTTTGGGAAGAGGACTCCTTGGGCATTAAGATGGCAAGGTCTGGCCTTGGACAATTTTAAGCAATGTCCCCATTTATGCCACGTTATTCCTTATGCATATAAAAAGTTTACCAGACCCTTTCACATCTATTATCTCCTTGCATTCTTACAATAGCTCTGTGAGTCTTTCCAAAATCTATTCACTTACAGTGATTTTTAAAACTGAAAGAAGCCGCCTCCAAGAAATCAATGAAAAGATGGCACTTAGAAAAAAATACCGACTGTTTTCTGAACACTCAGGCAGTTGTCTTCCTGTTTACAAACCCCGGAAATCTATCATGAAATTTCCAAATCCAGTAAAGCACAAAGAAAAAAGAAAATCCTTCAAATCATGTAATTAGAGAGTAATTTAAAATATTAAGAAATGTATTTAGATGCAAGAAAATGTTGAAGTTGGGAGAGTCAGGCCGGAATCGAAATTGCCAAGCGCACGGGTCTGTGTTTGCATCTCGGGGGCAGGTTCAGGCCTAGGAGAAACTGAGTCAGCTGCACAGATAGGTCCTGAGTCCCTCTGAAATGCCTCAGCCTGGTCACCAAGGCTGGGCACTCCTCTCACAGAGCATGAATGCCAGAAGAGAAAGACACAGGTGATACACAAATCCTCCTGAGGGACTAGCACATCAACTTTGCCTGAGGCCGGGATAAGAAAGATGGTAGACAGAATGCTTCTGAGAGCAGCTGGTGCCAGACAAGCATGAGGATGAGCAGTTGGTCCCTTGTTATGTCCTTCGAGAAAAATGGAGTTCAGTGAGCACCAGGTACAGGAGCGTGTGACTGGGGACTCATGGACAAACTTGCTTCCTGTAGTCATGACCAAGTCTAGAAACAGACATTGGCAAGGAGTTGGAGGAAAGAGGCTGTGAATACCACTGAAAGAGCACAGACCATGGCCCAAATTATGCAAACTTTCTAGAGGTGATCACAGTATGAACTTGGGTTCAAAGTGTGCGGTGCCTGCATAAAATCATTGTGCATAGTTCTCCAGCCTGGGATGAGTGTCGGTGCAGAGAGCTGTCTTGGTCAGGGAAGAATGCTTAACAGCATCCCTGGATTCTACATAGGAGATGTCTGTGGCATCTCTGCTCGAGCCTTCCCTAACAGTTGTGACATCTAAAAATCCCTTTGGGGAGCAAAAATAACCCCCTATGATGATGACAAAATCAAACTCCTCTATGACATGGTTTTCCTGCCTATGGAATAAAAATAACACTGTCTTTTTGTCTACCTGGAAAATCAGCCTTAATTTGCTCAGAATCTGCTGGTTTTCATTCTTGTAGGGAGACAAAGTGGAGGCACCATCCCATGGGAAGGGACTGGGCCCAGGTCAGAAGACCAGGCCTTGGCTCCTCTCCTTCTGCCAGACGTGTTCTGTGCAACCCAGGGCAAAGCCTTCTCCTCCAGCACTCGCTTTCCATCTTCAGAATGAGGTTCTGTCTCTGTACTCCAACCGCGTTTGCAATTCCCATAGGTAGCAACCATCTCAATGCTCTCTTTGCTCCTATTTTTTCTTTTATAAATTAAATATCCTCTTTGTATTTTGGGTTGCTGTTATTTTGCTGTTTGATGTGAAAGTAGGGGAAATTGTTGACAATCTGGGCAGCCTTGGATTACTGGATTGTCCCAAAAGAAAAAATGCAAAATCCTGTTAACTCATTGGCTGAGGGGTGGGTTTGAAATGTTACAACCTCACCTAAGCTAACTTGGTTTTTCTGAGTACTGAGTGGGGCACTTTGCTACGCTACACTTCTGACCTGTCCCTTCCCGTGGGATGGTGCCTCCACTTTATCTCCCTACAGGAATGAAAACCAGCAGGTTCTGAGACTTTTTAAGAGCAAAAAGAAAGAGGAAATTAGAAAAAAGAAAAACTTACCCAAAGTTGTACTTCATCCCTTAAATAATATCCCTCAACTGCAGATTTTTTTTTCTATCTCATTTCTAATGTGACAGTCCCTACCAAGAAAATTGCCAGGAAATGTGCCAGAAAAAGTTAAGAAGGATGCTTTGTGTCATCTGAAAACTTACTTCAGTCACGTGGCATTAATAAAGCATTCCGTTTCCACCTCCTAAATTGCTATGAAGCAGCCAGAATGGACTCTGAACTCCCAGTCCTGACTATCAGAACAGTTGTGCCATGACATTTTGTGACAAGAACAGCATGGTCCTGGGGAGAGGGGATGGCAGTGATAATAGCCTGTCATTACTGCTGGGTGGTTATCTGTGCGTATCTGCTTCTGCTGTGACTGATTGGCCCTGGCAGTGATGATGGGAACAGCACTTCCCCAGGGATGCACAGCTGCTGCAGCCCTGTCCTCTGTTATGGCAGGTAACTGCTTGCTTAGTGGCTTTGAAACCCCTGGATGTCTCACCCTAATGTAGATTTGCTCTTGTGGGTTAAGATTTTATCACTGGGAGCCTGTATTGTAACTAGCGCATGTGATCTGGAAGTTTCTCCAGAGTTCTTCTGGGTGATGTCATTTGCTCAAGGTCACATAGCAAGTAAGTAGCTAGGATAGACCATCCTGCTTTAGAGGACTCTTGCCAAAACATTACTGCTAGTAACACAACTACTATGTTAAATGGAATAGCTGTCTCCTAGAAAATAGGGCTTCAAGAAACAGGGCCCAGAAGAGATGAATTCTGGGGAGGAGAGATAAGTGGAAGACAGATGTGAGTCACAGAATTCGCAACAACCAGAAGCACTGTCTCCCGGGAAAGAGGTTCCACGAGGATTAGGAACCAAATGCAGTATGACAGCAACGGTTTGATGGTGGGGTGGGGACAGGGGTGGTGGTGACTGTGAGGGTGACCATTGTCTGCCCGGTGATGGTGATGGAGATGATGCTGTGGTGGAAGTGACGGTGATAATGGTGATGCAGTGGTAGTGATCATGGTGATGATGGTGGCGGTGGTGGTGAGGATGTTGGTGATACCGGTGGTTGTGGTGGTGCAGAAGATGGTGATGATGTTGCTGTTGTTAGTGGTGGTGGCGAGGGTGGGATCATAGTGATGGCAGTGTAGCATTCAACTTCCCTTTATTCAGTCAACAAGTATTTATTCAGAATCTACCAGTCAAGGCATCGGCGTACAAATGTGAATAGAATATAGTTTCTGCCTGCACAGAGCTTAGAGAAGACAGACAAGTAAACAGAAAGTTTCAGTATGGAAAATCATTTGATAGAAATCAGCA